GCTAAGGGTTCCAGGGTCCCAGCAGCACATCCCCACCCAAGGGGAATCGCCTAACTCCTATTTGGATTTTTAGGGACATGACATTGATTAACCAAGCTATTGACACCACACGGGACCTGATTGCCTGCCACGACTCAGACACCCGTTACGATGATGTGGAATGTCGATCTTCAGTAGCGGCCCTCTACCTGCCCATTGTTGGTCTGGTTATCGGTGCACTGCCTCAGCTCCATGGGTATGGAAGTGAGGACAACTCAAGTATAACTCCAGATGTGGCAATGGCCATAGTTACATCAAGTATAACACCTCCGATGAGCTCTGATGAGAAAAGTGACATTGCTTCGCAGGTTATTTATATGCACTTGTTTTGTAAAGCCTTCGAGGCAAGCGATAGGGGAAGTGACCTGCGAGCAAGCTCTTTATTTTTGGGAGTCGAGAGAAATCACGGGTGAGCGGCACTCGAAATAAGACGGGAGAGTTCGCGGCTCGCTCCGCTTTCCTCACGTAATGGAGTGCTGGCTTGCAGGCTATAGGGGAAGGAAAAGGAGGAATTCCGGGAACGTTATACGTTTCTGGCAAACTGCCCACCCATCCCTCCCCTAAGCCAACATTTTGCAAAGTGAGAAGTAAGTGTTAATGTTGGCGTAGGGGAGGGCTAGGTGGGCAGTTTCCCTTCTCGTGTACGTTAATAGACCTTTTTACTGATACGGCGGCCATATTGAATTAATTCGATTTAAGGAGTATTATAGGATGCCCAGGGGGCATGAGCACATTCCGTTTGTATTTTCGAGTGCTTTTCTTAGTGTTTGGATGTAATAATGATCGCCTTTTTCTAGTTTAGTATTAGAAATATGGTCTTTCACTGTATATTTCTCGGGAAAAGGGCGATCATTATATACATCAAAACACAGCGCACAAGGATCTTTTTTCCCATTACAATCTTATTCTAAGAAAACTTTAAGAAAAAGTGTCCCGAGAAGCGCTCGAAAATACAAACGAAATGTGCTCATGCCTCACTGGGCATCCTATAATACTCCTTAAATGGAATTAACTCAATATGGCCGCCGTATCGGTAAAAAGGTCTATTTTTCCCTTTCCAGTCCCATTTCGACGCCTACTATGCAGGCTAGACATGTCGGATCATTATACTGGGAAACTGCCCACCTACCCCTCCCCTAAGCCAACATTTTGCCCTAAGTGAGAAGTAAGTGTTAGTGTTGGCTCAGGGGAAGGGTAGGTGGGTATTTTCCGAGAAAGGTATAAAAATCCCACACGCCTAGGCGCCTTTGATCATTTTAAAGGAAAACTCAGAATATCAGAGTTGCATAGAACAGACACTCATAAACATGTCCAGATTTTGCCAGGTGAAAATTTTATTGGTGAGGCTGTGCGTGGTCTATTGCCGCGCATAATGTCTTATAGCGGAGCTCTCGCGCGCGAAGCGCGCAGCGGAGCACTATGGGTAAAAAAATGTGGTAAACTACCCATCCGAGAAAATTTGGTAATCACGTGACCGTACACCGACCGCCCGACCGTCCGTCCGCCCGACCGTCCGTCCGCACCACAGACATACCAATGTAAAATAATTCAATTAACAGGTATGGCAACCCAAATGCAGCTCAAGGTTTTATTTGGAAAGAAATCGCATGGCCGCCCGGACTTTTGAAAGAAAAAACAACAACAAAGTCGTGTCTTTTTCAACGTTATTTTTGATGTTTACACTCACGTGGATAACAGAGAAACTGAGCTAGAGCTAGTTTCTGAGAACAAAAGAGAAGAATTTTGTAGGAAGGAAAACATGAAAATTCAAAGCGGCTGTGAGACAATGAGAAATGCTAGTGGCCAGCAAGGTGAAACTGAGCGGCACTGAAAAATAAAAGCGAACATCAACACAGGAGACAAAATATTGGGTAAGAATTCCTCCATAAAAATAATGTGCAACTAGGAAGTTTGACGTTTAGTCCTACAAAACAGCGTTGTAGTTGTGCAAAACAACGGCAAAGAAGGACGAAAAGCGTGCTGCACGTGCAAATTTTGTTGTTTTGCTCCGTTAGAAAAAAAAGCGTGCTGCACGTGCAAATTGTTTTTTTGCTAATTAGATCTATTGATGCCATTTCCATTGGCCTCCCCCTTTAGCATTAGACGATTTAATTTGTTTTGTTTACAAGTTTTATTAACAAGAGCTTCGTTTTTAGCCCTGGCTAAATCTATATATTACGGATTTATAATGAGATATGTCAAGGGTCGAACGCTGATGCATGATCGTTGTGATAGACATCACAAAGTGTCTTCGTGAGCAAAAGTTCGCACAAATACTTATAATATGAAAATGTTAAACAACCCAGTCGAATGTGTACGCCAATTTAAAAGCAGTACTGAGTTCAATGTCAGACATAATTGTCAATACTTGAAAGATCATCGTATTTAGGGTCGATTTCCGACCTGCTTAAATATAAAAGAGGCGATGAGTTCAAGGTCGCGTGTAAACTTAAAAGCTGAACCGCGCTCAGGTCTTACCTTCTCAACTTTTACCTTGGTAAACTGAGATTACCCTGTGCGTCAAGCAATAACATGCTTTGAACAGCCTCTTCTTTTTCACCCTGAATTTCCTTCTCTTTTACGAACTCAAGAGTTTGTTCTACTTGCAGAAGAGTAAACCACAGCAGCTCAGTTTGGAGGCCACTAGAAATCTGTTGGTGTGTTTGCTGTGGGTGTTGAAGAATATGGATAGTCAGGTCTTAAAGGATTGGTGGGCAGATCAGCCATCTTCAAGGTATAAAGAGATTGGTTCTATCTACTGAGTTAATAATAAACACTTAATTACTGGTCTGGAGGGAAACAAAATTAACTGTTTCCCAAGCCGAGGGACCGGTCTTTAAGTGATTTGTTATATAGCTGGAAATTCATTTAACCTTGCTGTAACGGCGGTCGTCGGTCAACATTCGTGGGTAACAGTGCACTGTTACCCTCTGACGTCATAGATTTTGCAATGTTCTCCGTTCAGCGATTTTGGCGGGAAACGGTTTAATTGTAAGATGTCATGTGACCTCGAAGTAACCAATGAGAGCGCGCGCTGTAGGGAATAAATTTTCAGCTATATAACAAAGAAAACTGGCCACCTGAGAGAGAGTGAGAAGCCAACTTTTTGATTAGTGGCGCTTTGTTCCATAGTCGTATTGGTCCTGCTCATTTAAAGCAAACTTTTTGAAAAGCAGTTATGCAAGTTACTTTGTTGGAATTTTCAATTTCACGAAGTTAGTTTTTTGAATTATCCCTGATGTTTGCGTTTTGTTCATTTTTGGGATCAGAGTAGTGACCCTTTATCTCATACGCACTGCAAGAGTAACAAGTTGAAAAACGTAAGCTTCACTATTCAATGGCTATTTTGTTGGAAGATAGACGCGGTTAGAGCGGCCGAATTGATAGCCTGCGAACGCAGACGTGTTTCTGGTCGTCGCCTCTCGCCACCCAAAAAGTGGGGAGAATCGACGACCGGAAATACGTCTGCGTTTGCAGGCTACCGAACTGAAGGGAAAGGAATAATCTATTGCGTTTAATTTTCAGGCCGTACAGTACCTTGCGGCCGTAAAATTCACCAATAAATCAATTTATCGCAGGTTGGAATTGCTATTGGACGTGCTTCGCCTGTGTGTCACTCTGTTCGAATATGGCGGAAAGATGCAAAAATCATCTCAATTCCCGGCAGAACCAAGGCCTAAATCCGCCCAGCATGACATGAAGGCCAAGCTGGAAGAAGTTCTTGGAAATAAGGATGCTGCAAGGGAGATGATGCAACGCCATAGCAGAGTTATGTTAGGTAATAATTGGCCATTTTGAAGTCGCGTGAGAGACTGGGTTGGTGTTGTGTCGAATGACACTATGGGATTGTTTCGAGAAACAATTCTGACCCAGTTTTCCTCGCAGCTTTGTAATAGCTTATAGAAACGGTGATGGTGTCCCCAAAAACGGTTCCATAGTGCTAGTTTACACAACAGCGCGACTGTTCGTGTATGTCGTGGAGTCTGTGTAGTTTAAAAATACATATTGTCTACTTTATTCTGCATACATATCCCATGACGATTCTCTTTTAAGCAATCCAGACCTTTTCCTGTTTTGGTCAATGCCATTATTCGCCTGACCTTAATGCTTGCTTAAGCGGTGACAGGACGGAAGAGGAAAGAAGAAGGCAAATATTGTGTGACAAGCGTGACAATAATTTTGATTGAAATAACTTTTCACCAAACTTCACTTTCCTTTAAACTGGTCTTTTTGTAAAAGACCAGAAAACATTGATGTTAGTGAAGATCACGACAAAACACACAAGTAATAGCCTTGTCACGTTCGTCACGTACAAGCGATTTGCCGTCCTGTTGCGTAAACTCACTATTATAAGAGTAAATCAGACTCTTGTCATTGAGAGTGAGTCAGTATTCCTATGACGCCGTAATTGACTGATGTTATAAGGTGCTATCGTCTTTTCTATAATCAAACCGTGCGCAGTCGTGTGTTTTGGAATCCCTAGAGAGCAAACCTGAAATTATGCAAAGGTGTATTTTGTGGTACCTCAGAGAAATACTTTTCTCTCAAAATTTCCTGTAAACGCACCAGTCTCTCTCATGGATGTTCTGGTAAAGCTGAACCTTTCAAAACGGAGTAGTTACACGAAATAAATGCGTACTCTTCGCTAAACGCATATACTGTGTCGTAACAGAAAAGGGCCAGTCACCAGGCACGGAAACCAGACTTAGATGGCGTAAAGATCAAACACAGTGGAGACAGGCGAATGAACAACAAGACAGGTGAGTGTTAAGTTAAGATAATGTGAACGTTCACTTATCCGACACCTCTTTGACGCACATCAAAAGTGGCGCCCTACTCAGGGGTTTCAATAAAAATTGAAGTAGCCAGTGGTTTGGACAGAGTAACCGACTGTATCAACAAGAGGCCGTTGGTCCCTTTTCTATGGGATGGGGGGGAGGGTCTAAGCGCGTTCCGCCCAAGAAAAGTTTGAAATTTCAAAGCCCTAAAAATGCGATTTTCAGCGTTCTGGGGACCAAATTTGAGGACAAAAGAGCGTGTTTTTCATTCAAGAAAATCTAGCTTTCAAGTTAACAGTCACACAATCAATTCCTACAAGCAATGAACAAATGATGAAAACTAAATTACGTACTTTTTCACGTAAACAAATTAAGCGCAAACCTGTAAGAAACTTTTGAAAAAATGACTGAAATATATCGTTCACATGACTAAAGCATAACGTAAAACCAGTGGGCCTTTCGGAAAACAAATCAAGTTGCTTCTTCTTTTTGTAAAGAAGTAGCCGACCTCTATGAGCAAAGTAGCCGACGTGTTTCGTTGGCCGTCATAATAATAATAATAATAATAATAATAATAATATAATAATAATAACCATAATAATAATAATAATAATAATAATAATTTGTGGTGAGAAGTATACCGTCTGCCATGCCCTGTCATGCAAAAAGGGAGGTTTCGTGGCGCAGAGACACGATGGTGTTCGCAACCTACTTACCTCACTTATTGGAAAGGTTTGCACCAACGTTGAAGTCGAACCTCAACTACAACCTCTTGATAATGAGCGATTCAACGTCAGAACCGCGGTAAAAAGCTAAGCCCGGAGGCAAGACTGGACTTTAAGGCAGGGGGCTTTTGGTCTCGTGGAGTTACAGCATTTTTTGATGTCAGAGTGACGCATGTTAACTCCAAGTGCAACCAGGGAAAAGAAACATCCACAATATTTAAGGAGCAGGAGGAGGAGAAAAAGCGGAAGTACCAACAGAGGGTGCTGGACGTTGAAATGGGATCTTTCACTCCCCTAATTTTTGGAACCAACGGTGGGATGGGAGCCGACTGCCACTACTTTCTCAAACGCCTAGCCGAGAAGCTCTCAGAAAAGAATGAGGAACCTTATCACATTACTATTACTTGGATTAGAACATTGCTTTCTTTGGAGATTTTAAGAACCGTGCACACATGCGTAAGAGGTTCTAGGACACCCTTTCACAAAATTCGACAAGGAGATTTTATTGATGACTGCCGCCTTAACGCCACCCAAGCGTGTGTGATAATGGCGTGAACCGTTTTTATTTTATTTTATTTTTACTTTATTGTGAATAATTGGGATGATTTTTTTTTTTTCAGATTTTAATCCACAGTTGGAATTAGTGTGAACTGCATGTTTTTTATTGAATTAAATTTTTTTTCTCTCGAATGATCAGGAGCCTATGAAATGAAATGACTTGTAAATAGTGCTTTGACTGAATATATGTATATATATTTTTAATTTTAAAACAAATAATAATCGAAATTAATTGTTTTTTTTTAATTGAAATGAATCTTTTTAAATGAGGTCTTCTTAATCGAATGAAGTGTAAATAGTATTTTGAGTGAATAGTTTTTAAAACGAAATTAATTGTAGACAGGTTTTAATAGTTAACGTCGTTATCAATAAAGGTTTTATTATTTTTATAATAATAATAATAATAATAATAATAATAATGATAATGATAATGGTAATAATAATAATAATAATAATGGTTTATTAACTTCATTTCCATTAAAAAATGGCTCTACATCTGCTAATACAATATAAAATATATAGTATCTATTCAGCTGGAAAAAAAAATGCATTATTAAGTCAGGAGCAGAAATGTGCGTGGTAAAAAAAAACGCTAACTACCTACCTACCTAACTGTGGTTAAAAAAACTGTATTTGGAACTGTTACATTCCTGCACTTTACGCTTTGATTCATTGTGCTGTAAATTGACTCTGCAGATGAATACTTGACAAAAGCTATATTCACACTATGCGGGATAGCTTTTGCGCCGGCAAGAAAATCATACTGGATGGGGATAGGTGTTACGCGGGTAATCTTTTAGAGGACGGGTGGCTTGCAAACCAAACTGAACGCAGGGTTGTCGGAACAGCAATAAGAAGATTTATTCCACAAATGAACGTAGTTTCCACGAGTAAAACTCTACAACAGCACGTAACTCGATAAACTTACACGGCCTCCGCCAACTTGAATAAACTTGATAAACTTACACGGCCTCCGCCAACTTGAATAAACTCTGCCTTCGTCACACTTGACTAAGCACGACCAACGTCAAACTCTCTTCGCTTGTGAAAACTAATAAAACTTAACTCGAGCTGGCCTTCTTATATACTTTTACAATAAAGTTCTAGAACATTCCAAATAGTCTAATTATAGAAAGGTTACAAAATATACCGCTTTAGAAACGCTTACACAAGATCCTAAAATAAACAAATTATGAACTCTCCCGAAGCTTCTAGAAAGTCACGCTAGTCACGCAATACAATTTTTCGCAACAATAGAGCTCTGTTCACACATAAGTACGATGATTTCGGCGCGCTTTCTGTAACGAGCGAAGCGGCGCCGCTCGTAAGTTGCAAGTGGAGAGTCACTTATCGGATAGGTGTTCATACTATTCTGTGTTTTCACTGTCACGCCATCAAAAATAAAAATGCAAACCAGTCAATACAGAAAGTCCAGAATCTGGAAAATGAAAGAGGATAAATATACAAAAAGCCTCCCCAAGAATCAGGTCTGAGCAATAATTGATGTGCGAGATATTCGGAAAAACGTTTTACCCAAATTTATAAGGCCTTGTATGGAGACGCCATGATGGTGTCCCTTCAAGGGGCACAAATATGGCCGCCGGAAACCAACAGAAACATCTGTTTTTGAGTTTTCTTACTTATGCGTGAATTCATCGCTTGAGGAACTCATAAAGATTAAAGTAGTATTTATTCTAAGACAAGGAATTTTTAGATAGCAAAATCTCAAAAACTAAGTGACGTTTTTAACCCACATAAGAGCTTTCCCGGCCCCCAGCTAAATGCCGCGTCACTCAAAAGCCTGGAAATTCAAGCCTCTTCTATCGCAAAACGAAGAACCCTTTGGAACCGAAAATTTGTGTAAATAAAGGTTTTTAGGTGCTGTAATACCTCATGAAAGTAGAAACTCAGAAGAATCGATAGTTTCTTAGTTTAAATTTTGGTGACGTCATGTGAAAACCCCTAATACGGGATAGCTTTTCGTGTCGGTGCGAAAAGATGCCCGGTGTAGTATGAACGTAGCCTAATGCTCATATAGTTGTGTTTACACAATAGAGAGGAGAAGTGTGACGTCACGTTGCCACGGTAGTAACATTTCTAGATCAAAACAATGGGAAGCTAAAGGCTAAAAAGCAGTCGGTTTAGAGTGGTTTTCGTTTGAGTGTCGTAAAACCAAAACCAAAGTAATTACTCTGGCCAATCACATAGGACACAGACAATACATTGAACCAATCAAAACTCGAAGTAATTACATGTGGCTGACGCAAAGCGCGGGAAAATGCATGCGAGCGCGTCACAATTGGCTTTGGTTTTACTTCTGATTGGATGAAAAGGTGGCGCGAATCTTTTAAGCCAATCGCATCGTGTAGAAAGTGCAAAACCAATTACTTTTCGACACTCAAATGAAAACCGCTCTATTTCTTAGCCATCGTTGCAAGTCTGTGACTTGAAACTTCCTAATTTCATGCGCCTCCTTCATGGAGTTGGTGAACACAGCACAAAAATTTTCTTGTTTTTATTTTTCTAAACTCAGATTCGGTCCTTTCGGATTCAACCCTAGACAGTTTCGCCAAGATTTTACAAATTAAATGAAATTGAATAAGATCGATGAAGTTTGAAACTTTCCGGGGGAGGGGAGAACCGCAAAAAGGTTTGGCTTTATTGTGAGGCAACCTCAAGAGATGTGAGCACGCAATAAAAGATTATTTTAACACACAGTGAAACTCCTTTACTCCGTTCGCCAAGGTCGTAAAGTCAATGAGAAAGTAGACCGATTTTTGAATCATGAAACTGTAAACGTCAATTTGCACCACGCGATCAAGTTTTCCTTCACTTGCGGCTTTTCTTTTTGGCCTTCAAAAATAAGTAGTTTCAAGACAATTTCCTAAATAAAGATTATTTTGGACACCATTTATCGTTTTGCTCATTTAGAAACTAAGCGGTTTTACAAGTGCTTCTAGATGAATAAAGGGCAACTGTAGCCTGTAGTCAGCTAACTGTCACTCAACTTTCCGTTACGGTCTTGCGACCTTCGGTCGCTCATATTTCATTCTTGCTTGGTGCGTTGCTGTTCTCGTTCACGTTGTTGTTCGTAATAATTTATCATATTTCTGGTGGAGATGTATCCCCAGTGAGAATAGGCAATCATTAAAGTTTATATTTACTATGTTTAGCGTAACGTAAGTTTCTAAAAACTTTCATTTTTGTTTTTTTTTTTGCTTTTTGTCCTTGTACTGCAGACTTTGTCCAGAAGCGGAGATCAGTGCGCATATCGAGGGGTCCCTCTCAGCTGAAGTCACGTTAATTGTTCTTGATGCGTTGGAGCAGTTAGTCCAGGTAATTGTTTTATGTGTTTTTAAAGGCGGGAGTTATTATCTAAAAAGATATATCTTGAAATTGGAAGAAAACCTCAAAATATAATTTTCACTAAGGAAGTAAGGGGAAATAGAGAAGAGCAGTTGTTACGTCATGTTCCCATGGCAGCAAAATTTTTGGATGACAACGTCACTTAACAAGTGAATTTACACTGTTTCAGACTTTATCGCTCTTATCCAATTTCATTTAATTTGCCAAATATTGACGAAATTTTCTGGGGTTGAATCCGAAAGGACCGTATCTAAGTTTAGAAAAAGAAAAGGAAAAGTTTTGTGTTCACCTACTCCATAAAGCAAGAGCGTGAAATTAGGAAATTTCATGTCGCAGTCGTACAAAAAAGCGTGATGGGCGTGCAGTTGTTGTTTTGCTGATTTACACCTATTGCTTTTTTGCTGTTCTCGTTACTATCGTCGTCGTCATTGCTTAAGCTCCCTGTCGGTGTGATCCAGAAATTTTGCTACCATGGTAACTTGACGACACACTTCTCTTCTCTATTCGAAAGCGGATTTAGGATGGTTTACGATGGAGAGGTTTCACCATGTTCTAAACGAGTGAAAAACTGCGCACGGCATGTGGGCTTAAAGCTTGTTGGGATCGTTTGGCGCACTACAGCTGCTGTGTTCCAAATTGCAATTATAATATCATAGGTGAGGAATTACTCCTTAGTTTTGGCGCGAAATTTCAGCGTTAATTTGGAATTTCACATGTGAAATTACAAAATTACCATGGCAACCCTTCCGTACGTCTCAGTGTCAAGATGGCGACGAAGTTTTAAAATGCCATGAATGAAGATGTCAGGGCACAAAAAAAACGCTTTAGAAAACTAGACTCTAACAGGTATTTTGCCGAAAAAGTCTGAAAAATTCTGAACTTTATAAGCCAAATTTAAGGTCTAAACATTTGAGAGAGTAGAGTTCTCGATCGATACGATCCAGGATAAACATGTCAAAAATCCAAGATTGCTAACGTAATTCGTCACCCATGATATTAATAGGTAATCAAATGGTATACTCGTGAAATTAGGGAATAATTTCAGGCTCAGGAAATTATTAGGATTTGGACAAAAGGCAAGTGAAATTATTCCCTAATTTCTCTCGTCACCATTTGATTACACATACTAATACTTTCAGACAGTTGGCCGACGGTAGAATTTAAGGGCAAATAACATTACTAATTGACCAGTCAAAGGTTACAGCACAGATAGATACATGACAGTATTCACGAAAACGGCGAAACTCATGAGGCAATTGAAGAAAAACGATAGGAAATGAAACTAAAGCTTGAAGGAAGCTTTCGGTAAACGACTTAATATAAGAAATCATGAAAGTTATGAAGCACGAAAAGAAAAACCCGAGGTATTATTTCGCTGGGTAATCACGCAATGACATGTACAAATGATTCGTGATTGCCTGTATTTTTGGCCATACGAGAATCTGCATCATTGGAGAGAAAACAACATTGGCCGCAACAAGCCTTGTTTCCTTTAAGCTACGTTTGATTAACATGTATTTTTAAATTTTTACCTGTTCTTTAGACCGTGG